AGCTTTGCGCAAGCCAAAAGACGATTTTTTCTCCTAGAAAAAAGGTTTGAGAAAAATCAGAGTTTATTTCATGAATACAAATCATTCATTGATGAGTACATAGCATTGAATCATGCCAGAATAGTTCCCCTCACAATAAAAAATGAGAAAAACGAAAATAAATTTTTTCTCCCACATCATCCAGTGTTAAGACCAGAGAGCACCACCACAAAGTTGCGAGTGGTTTTCGACGGTTCTATGACATCATCATCAGGAGTCTCCCTTAACAATATAACTCTCAAGGGTTTTCCCGTCCAGTCTGACCTCTTTGACATTTTGCTCAGATTCAGAGTTCGCAATTATGTGCTGATAGCTGACATTCAAAAAATGTATAGGAATATCCAAATCAATCCTAATCAAACATTTCTCCAAAACATTTTATGGAGGGATCACCCCACTGAAGATCTAAAATGCGTAGAACTTACTTCAGTTACGTACGGCTTGAATAGTTCAAGCTTCTTGGCAACTCGTTGCTTAAGTGAACTTGCTGTTTCTAAAAAATCTGACTATCCGCTAGCTTCACAGGCGTTGTTACTTCAAACGTACGTTGACGATGTCCTGGCTTCTCAGGAATCCTTAGATGAACTGCATCAACTTTATGTTGAATTAAATGCTCTTTTAAACTCAGCTGGATTTTATCTTCATAAGTTCGCATCGAATTCAAAGGAATTCACACAAAACGTCCTTAAAACTTCTAATTCTCAATTGTCTTCTCAAACGCTTGACATAAAAATGGAGCAGGTTTCAAACAAGGTTCTCGGTTTAAAGTGGAACTCATCCGAGGATCAATTTTGTATTTCTTTACCCGCGTTAGAAACCCAGAAATGCTTTACAAAGCGTGAGGTGCTGTCCAACATTGCGAAGATGTTTGATCCCTGTGGTTACCTTGGTCCAGTCATTGTTATCGCGAAAATTTTTATGCAAAAAATTTGGAACAGGAAGCTGGACTGGAACGACAAGCTTCCGCCCGACTTATTGGATGAATGGTTGGATTTATTCACAAGAATTCCTTGCCTGAAAAATGTCCAAGTTCCACGATGCTTACTTTTGAAGAAAAAGATTCTAACCGTCGAGCTTCATGGCTTTGCGGACGCAAGCCTACTTGCATATTCTGCTTGCGCGTATTTACGCGCAACATACGCAGATCATACAGTTTCTAGTCGTTTGATTTGTTCCAAGTCCAGGGTTAGCCCTGTAAAGACTATTAGCGTACCCAGACTCGAATTATGTGGTGCATTACTTTTAGCACGTCTCGTTGAGAAGGTTATAGCCATTTTCAATAATGCCATTAAATTTGAATCCATAAATTTATGGACGGATTCGGAAATTGTGTTATGCTGGTTGTCAGCACACTCTTCCAGATGGGTTGTTTTTGTGAGCAATCGTACTGCTGAAATACAAAGGTTAACCGAATCATTCATTTGGCGACATGTTTCTTCGGAAGAAAACGCAGCCGATCCTTTGTCCCGTGGAGTTTCTCCCGATAAAATTCAATTTTGCGAGTTGTGGTGGAAGGGACCTAATTTTTTGCAAAACTTTGAACTTGACCTCAGTAAATTCACATTCAAGATTTCACAAAACAATGAAGCATTAAAAGAGGAGCGAAGTATAAAAACGATTTCTTCGCATTTTTCCATAACTAATGAATATTGTTACTCAAAATTTCAAAAATTTTCTAGTTTCACTCGCCTGCATAGAACTTTCGCTTTTATTTTCAGATTTGTGAAAAATTTAAAACATAGCTCCAATAAGGTTTTGGAAAATTCTTTATCAATCGAAGAATTGCAAGTTTCTCGTAACTTTATCATTAAAACCATACAAGAAAAGCATTTTTCCAAGGAAATATCCTGTCTAAAACACCACAAGGTCGTGCCTAACAAGGCAATCTTATCTTTAAGTCCCTTTTTGGACCCCGAAGGAGTTTTAAGAGTCGGTGGCCGTCTGTCCAGAGCAGATATATCATTTGACCAGAAATTTCCCATTTTGCTGCCCGCTAAAGATCACGTAGTTGATCTAATTCTTACTAAGCAACATTTGGACCTGTATCATGCAGGCCCCCAAACTGTTTTATCGCATACTCGACTTCGTTATTGGCCTCTCAATGGCCTTCGAGCCATTAAAAAACTAACAGGAAAGTGCATAGTTTGTTTCCGATTACGGGCCCAAGTAGCTCAACAAATAATGGCAGATTTGCCAGAGTTTCGAGTAAACTTCTCAAAACCATTTGCCAAGGTCGGCGTAGATTTTGGCGGACCAATGCTTGTCAAATCATCCTCGTTGCGGCAAGCCAAGCTTCTCAAATGCTACTTTGCCGTGTTCGTATGTATGGTCACAAAGGCCACACATATCGAACTAGTATCAGATCTTTCCACTAATGCTTTTATTTGCACACTCAAGCGCTTTATATCCCGTAGAGGTAATCCGTCCGTAATTTTCACCGATAACGCCACAAACTTCAAAGGCTCAAGAAATGAAATTAAAGAACTTTACGACTTCTTTAAAAATGATGCACATAATAAACAAATAAAGGATTTTCTATCACTTAGAGAAACGCAATGGGTTTTCATCCCTCCTCGCTCTCCTCATTGGGGCGGTTTGTGGGAAAGCTCCATCAAAAGTACCAAATATCACATCACAAGAGTAATTGGCGACTCTCATTTTACTTTCGAAGTTTTAAGTACTGTATTGGCTCAAATAGAGGCAATTCTCAATTCCAGGCCACTTTGCGCCTTATCAAACGACCCTTTGGACCTCGATGTCCTCACTCCAGGCCATTTTCTCATTGGCTCCAGTTTAACATCTTTTCCAGAAAGATCCTTAGAAAACACCACTACAAATAGACTTTCTATGTGGAAAAACATGACAAAGGTTCAACAAGCCTTCTGGAAAAGATGGTCAACTGAGTACTTAAACCAACTTCAGAATAAACCAAAGTGGCTAGTCCAAAAACCAAATATTAAAGTTAATGACCTTGTCCTCATAAAGGAAGAAAATGTACCTCCTTTAAAATGGCCAAGAGCCCGGGTAACTGAAATCATTACGAGTGCAGATAATAATGTTCGTGTTGTAAAATTAAGAACAAAAGACTCCGAATTCACTCGTTCAATCGCAAAGCTGTGTCCACTGCCATTGAACAATGAGTGATGGTCCTTCGAATCGTTTCTTTTCTCCATTTCTTGAAGCTGAGGCTTCAAGGGGGGGGAGTATGTTGAAATTTCATTTCAACCCGCTGCCGCCGCCGCTGCATTTAAAGTTAAATTTCTTTATATTTTTATTCCTACTATAATCTGCTGTTTCTACGTTTCTACCCGATTTTCAAGGGAACGTGCGTATGCCCAAGCGCATCGCAAAAGTAGGTCAAGATTGGAGGTGGAGAGTACCTACGAAGTCGAAGTTTTTGTTTGCCTTGAGTTCTCACTTCTAGTCAGAGATCGTAACGAATTGCAAGGGTTGTTTTGTACCGCTTTTTTCTTTTCTCCAAATGGCCCGATCGTGCGCCTGAAATCAACCTTTTCTTTCTCTTCAGTTTTCTATTGTTTAATTGCTGTTAATTAACCAATTATTTGCGTTAAAGTGAACGTTCCATATACTTATTTAAATATGCAATGTTCTTCAGAATTTGTTACCTGTTTTCTGTAAATAGTTGTAAATAGTCGTTTTTCGTTCAAATTAAAATAAAATAACTTTTCATAATCAAACCATCGTGTTTGCTTGAACCTGGATATACGAACAAGAATTAGCACGGCATTGGCAGCATTCTACCACAGATTCTACTCTTGAAAAATAAATAAATGTTGGAAACCACAACAGTTTTAACGCTGTATTATAAAATTTATTGTACGTATTGTCATATTTACATTTACAGGCCTTCCCCTAATAGATTATTAATACTTTGTTACGGCAAAAAGTCCGCTCAAATTACGCTGCTGTCAGGAAAATAAGCCAAAAATCCGTAATAATTCGTGTTTGTGTCTGTATTATCTTTCATAGACTCATATTGCGTCGGGTTATTCGGAATATGAATATTAGGACAGGGTTGGTTCAAAGAAGAAGCAAATTTAATTTTTCAATATTCAATATTGAACATTTTCATATTGTTTTCGCATGCGTTTGAAATTCCATATTTCGTTCACACCGAACGAGAATAAAAAATGTTGTCAATTAAAATCTAAATTAATGAAATCAAGACAAAACTTATCGCCTCATTTCGGTCTAGAAGTACCTACCATCAATATTGATAAGTCAAACTACGTAGGTACCTACTACAAGTTGTTCATCTCGACTCGCGAAACCCGCCAAAATTAGCCACTTGATTCGTGCATAAGATGAGTAGATATATTTACCACATTTTCTTTAGGAAGACCAAAAATGTTACGGAGTAGTTCTATACCATATATTATAGCTATCTACAATCTTGCTACGCGGCGCCATACAAATGGTACCTTTTCCACAAGTTTGAGATTATCGAATCATGGTTATGTATTTGCAACCCATTTCTACTCAGGTACGAAACATTGGTAAAAATAAGGTTGCAATTAATAATATGCATGTCTCATTTAGAAATAGAATTATCTATCAAATACCATAAAAAAATCTTTTGTAGACCTTCACGTGTTTCCTGTGACAGCTCATATAATTTAGATATTAAAAAGTAAGTAGATACCTCCGTGAAAATTATATTTTCCATAGATTTTGTTACATTATTATTTGTAATTTCTTAAATCTTCATCAAGATCATTGGAACATTGACCTTATAATTTCCTAACAAGACAAGTAGATGCAATACACAATAAGTAATTAATTTTAAAAGTGTCTAGATAATGAATATGTACCAATATACGATTTTGAAGAATAAAGAAAAAAATTTAGTATAAAATAACATGGAAAAATTAATTATGATTATTGAGTAAAGTTTTATTCATTAGGTGAAATAGTGAATTATAGTAGACAGGGAAATTACAATGGTAAGAACTATTTATAAAAGCTTAGAAAATTGAAAACGCTGTTTCTCTATTTCAGTTGAAGAAAATTATTTTATTTGTCCTATCGATAGCAGTAGTTAATGCTGTAGGCGAAGAAGAGCAATGGGAATCATTCAAAGTAAGCTCCTAGTACAAGAATTTTAACAAAATAAGTTATTTCCATTTTATAGACAAAGTATAACAAAATATATAAGACCTCCACAGAACATCAAGAAAAATTTACCAAATTTCGTGAAAACTTGCAAAAAATTAATTCTCATAACAAAAAATACGACGATGGAACTGTGTCTTATAAATTAGGCATCAACAAATTTGCCGATATGAGTGAAAAAGAATTTGCATTAAAACTGGGATTTAAAAGCAATTTTATTAATAAAACTAAGAATCATGCCATTTTTAAATCTCCTGTAAACGCAAATGTTCCTGAAAAAGTTAATTGGGTTGAATTAGGTGCAGTCACTGGAATAAAGGATCAAGGAAATTGCGGATCCTGTTGGAGTTTCAGTGCTGTAAGAAATACTAAACATTCATTAATTTGAAAACTGAATAAAAATAATCCTTTTTTTAGACTGGAGCACTAGAAGGCCAATATTACCTCAAATACAAAAGTCTCGTCTCCTTGAGCGAACAAAATTTAGTGGATTGTTCTAGTTCATATGGTGACAATGGTTGTAATGGTGGACTTATGGACAATGCCTTCGAGTATGTCCGTGACAACGGTATTATGAGTGAAGATGATTATCCTTACTGCGCCTTTGACGAGACTTGTCAATATAACTCAGCCAAAGTTGTTGTAAAAGTTCAAAGTTTAGTAGATATCGCAGTTGGTAGCGAAACGGATTTACAAACCGCTGTAGGTACTCTAGGCCCAGTATCTGTAGCTGTAGATGCTTCAATGTTCCAACTATACCAAGAAGGGATCTATGACAATTCAAATTGTGGAAATGGACGGTACGATTTGGATCATGGCATTTTAGCCGTTGGTTACGATACTAGTGCTGATGGCACACCCTATTGGTTGGTGAAGAATTCTTGGGGAGAAGATTGGGGAGAAAAGGGTTACATTAGAATGTCAAGGAATAAAGATAATCAGTGTGGTATTGCTACATGTGCCAGTTACCCCGTATTATTGTAATCTATATGACTTCATGTTGAGATAAAATAATAATTGTATTTTGAAATTATTTCAATTATGTATATAGATTTGTGTGCGTATTTGAAAAAACAAATATTACATATACTTATCCAAATCCATTTCTTTGTCATTTTTCATGAATACCTGATTATTTTGATTATTATCGGTCTACATACTTGGGTAGACAGCATTGATAAAAAAAACAATTATCAATAAATTATATGGTAATCCAAGACCGAAATACAATTAACTATTTCAATAAATGGTTTTTCAAGAAAACAAATCAAGTTCATATATACAGGGTGATTGATGATTGATGGTACCTTGGGGCCAAATTTATAGTCGCTCCTTGAAGTTTCCTTAGACCTTGGAAGAAGCCTTGAAAGTTTAGAATTGGCATGACTAAATTTTCAAATGCTAGCAAGTATCCCTCCAATTTAGGAAGTAATGATGAATCTATTTATTATTCATGGTCAATGTAGCATGCAGAACATGCAGAAAATCCAACAAAATGTACCCTTATATTAACAACGAATAGACAAAAGAAAATTTGTGCGAATACAAAATAACTTTATATACAGTTTGGTTCAAAACTTGAGAATGAATCAACCTTACCAAAGCTTGTAACGTCTGATGAAGACATCGTGAATGTTTTAGCTTACTTGCACCATCTTTCTATAATTTGAGGAGCGTCTTGCATGCGTTCGCAAAGCGAGTTTTCGAATTCACCTCCTTGCAAGATGACTACGTCATCTGTGTAGAGCATATGTAATATCTATCCGGTAACAGTTTCAGGAGTATTCCTTTCTGTTAGCGAGTAGCTATTTTTCTGATAGGTTTTGTCAATGTTGATAAATAATGGATTATTTGACAGCACTTCATGCCGTATGTACCTTTCGCATAGCCTGTCCATTGTTTTTAGAGAAAAAGATGAGAGGCTTATGGGGCGATATGCTTTGGGTGTGGTGTAGTCCATTCTCCCTGGTTTGGGTAGGAACACCACTCTGACTTCTCTCCAAGCCTCAGGTACGTATCTCACCACTAAGGACGCTCTGAACATCCCTACCAGGTGCGGCAAGAGTAGCTCCATGCCCTACTGAAGTAGAGCTGGATAGATGTCTTCAGGTCCTGGTTTTGAAGACGGAGAAGTGTGGTATTGCTACATGTGCCAGTTACCCTGTATAATTATAATTTGACATTAGGTATGTATTAAAAAACCAATATTAGATCTAAATCCATTTCTTTGTAATTTTTCATGAATACCTGATTATTTTGATTATCATCTGTCTACATACTACACATCATTGATAAAAAAAAACAATTATATCAATAAATGATAGTAATCTGAGACCAAAAAACAACGATGACTTTAATAAATTATACTCGAAGAAAACAAATCAAGATCATATATAAGCCGAATCTAAAACATTAAAATTATTAAAAAACATAGCTATACCTACCTAACACGACCAGCAAACAAATCTCACAATGGTAAGTTTAATAATTCCTTTTACAATGTAAATTATATATTAGTTTAGACTTTTTGACAAAATATTGGACCTGCTAAAATATTTTTCCCCAGAAACTAAATACCAAAAAAAAAAATATTTTGATATGTCCGTTTGAGTTTGTCGCTATAATAATTACAATTATTTCAGATTAAGACACTTTGTAGTTTTGCTATCTTCTTTGTCATTGTGAATGCTTTGGGAGAAGCAGAACAATGGAAATCGTATAAGGTAAGAACAAAAACCCATGAAAACTCAAATGTATTTACTTAGATTCATTTTAGGCCAATTTTAAGAAAATATACGAAAATTCCAAAGTCGAACAGAAAAGATTTGCCATTTTCATTGAAAATTTGCAAAAAATTGAAGCTCACAATGCCAAATACGAAAAAAACCTTACCACTTACAAAATGGCAATTAATACTTTCGCCGATATGACGCGAGAAGAATTCGGGCAGTTTTTGGGATTTTCTGCTGGTTCCCAAGCGAATATCACTAGGTACAATGCCGTATTTCAGCCGTCAGGAGCAGCAGTTCCAGACCAAATCAACTGGATTGAAAAAGGAGCAGTGACAGGAGTTAAGGATCAGGGAGATTGTGGATCTTGCTGGAGTTTTAGTGCTGTAAGTAATTTTCGTTTAAATAAGTATATTACCTATCTGACTGAAAAATAAATATATTCCAGACTGGTGCCATCGAAGGTCAATACTTCCTCAAACACAAAAAACTAGTTTCCCTCAGCGAACAAAATCTTGTAGACTGCTCTACCGGATATGGCGACGATGGTTGTTCAGGGGGACTTATGGACAACGCATTCAAATATGCAATGGATTATGGAATAATGAGCGAAGCTAGTTACCCTTATTCGGGAGTCGATGCGACTTGCAAGTACGAATCCAACAAAGTCGTTGCTAAAGTCCAATCTTTCGTAGATATAGTTGTTGGCAGCGAAGATGACCTGAAATCAGCTGTCGGTACTGTTGGTCCAGTTTCTGTAGCAGTAGACGCATCCGAATTCCAATTTTACGGATCTGGCATTATGGATAGTGCGTATTGTAATAATGGTCGTGAGTATTTGGATCACGGAATTCTGGCTGTTGGTTACGGTAATGAAAATGGAGTGGATTACTGGCTAGTGAAGAATTCATGGGGCGCCGATTGGGGTGAAAATGGTTATATCAGAATGTCTAGGAATAAAGATAATCAATGTGGTATAGCTACTTGTGCTAGCTATGCTGTTTTATGATCTATCAAATATTATTTTTTATATTATTAACATAATCACATCTATGTACTTTTATGCTATCAATAGAGGTTCTTTTTCGAATAAAAACAATACAAAATACTTTGAAGTTCCTATTCTCTAGCTAAACCCAAATCTTCTTTTGTCGTCTTGACAAAAGTTCCCTGCACCTGTTCAAATGTGTAAATTCCAAACCCCTCGTGGATACGATCAATATGCAAGCAAATACAATACACTCCTTTCTACTAATTTGTTACACTATAACCAGAATAACAATCAAAATTCAAGCCTAAGACAAAACACATAAACATATTTGTTAATATAGAAAGATTGAAACAACTTATAAATCTAGGTCTTTACATGGCGACTGTAACTACGTAAAGGCGTTTTTGTGTCAGTTTGTACTGAAATACTTGGTTGTACTTTTTCAGACTTGTCAAAGCGGTAGAACAGAACAGTTTATTGATGTCAATTTGTTGTTGTTGTTCGTTTAACCCTTCCGAGTCCATACACTTCAGACTTGGAGACGTCTCATTGTATAGACTCTTCTCTCTGATACTTTGAAACTAGATAATTGGCGGCAGGGCGGGCGACCTATCGACCCTATCCTCCCGTACTACTGCGGTCACCCATCCAATCTCCATCTCGACACCACGTTGCTCGGCCTACGTAAGGCGACTTGCGTCCTTTATCCCCAAGTACCAACGTACCGGTCGATGTGACGTTAGTACGATACCCAAAATATTGTCATGAAGATGGCGCACCTCTAGGAATCGTTTCTCCCACAACCGCCTTGTACAGGGTGCTGCAATTTGGAGTGTTTCAACAGGAAAAACATACTTCCAGGCCAGATAGAGGAAAATTAACTTAGACGTCATGGGATCGATTTTTGAGAAACGTCAATTGTCAAAAACCGTATCACGATATCTTCAATGGTACCATTGATACAGGGCGATTTTCGATTTTCCCCTATTATGAAAAATGGCTATAAGTTTTTGATTTATCAATTTTTTTTATTTCTGTTAAAACATTATGGAGACACTTTTTTGAGCACAATCCAGTGGCGGACTCAGTTTTTTTCTATATTGCTTCGATGCCTACTTTCGTATGTTGGTATCGGTTTGAGAGGTAGCTGCGGAAAACATCAAGGGCCATTCCCCTTACTCCATAATGTTCCAGGACGCTGAGAAGTTGTTAATGAGGCACTGTATCGAAGGCCTTAGCGAGGTCCATAAATACTACTATTGTCTTTTCACTATTGTCCATACTCTTTGTTATTTCTGAAGTAAGATGCTGAATAGCATCAGAAGTACTGATTCCCTCTGTGAACCCATACTGTTTATTAGATAGGATGTTATTTATTTTAAAAAAAATTTACCAGTCTGTCCTTTAGTGCCTTTTCAAAAATTTTTGTCAAGATATTAATGAGGCTGATGGGTCGATAATTTTCTATTCTATTGATTTGACCATTCTTGTAGATTGGTGTTATTAGGGAGGTTTTGGAATGATGTGGAACAGTACCCCTTTCAAATATTAGATTTATGATGTGTTTTAAAGGTATGATTATATGTGGATGTATGAGTTTCATTAATTTACTGGAAATTCCATCCATGCCAGGGGCACTATTTGATTTTAGGGATGAAATATGTTTAATGAGTTCTGAGTCTGTTATCGGTCTCAAATACATGGACGCGTTCGCATTTGCTGAGAAATCCAAACGATAGGGTCGCTCTGGAATTTTCATTTGCTTCTCTAGTTCAGTACCAACATTTATGTAATGGTTGTTGCAGAAATTAGCCATGTCATTATTATTTTCGAATTCTTCATTTTTTTCATTTAAAATTTTTTTTGTTTGTGTTTTAATGGCATTAGTGCCTTTACTTTATTTATTATTTGGAAAATTTTTCTTATATTATTATTGCTACCTACTATTTCTTTCTTATAGAAGTCATATTTTACTTTCTTAATTAATTTGTTTAAGCTATTTCTATAATTTTTATAATATTGTTCCAAGTCAGGGTCATAATCTTTTATTAATTTGTTTTTTTTCTTTATTGACGTTATGAGTCCATTGGTTATCCATTCTTTACATTTTTTGTGCGCTTGTTTTATAGTTTTAGTAGTTTTGGACTTCTCAATGCAGTCAAGAATCATTGTCACGAAAATGTCAACAGAGGTGTCTGGGTTATTCGACTGAAGTACCTCAGTCCAATCGCAGGTTGTTAGGCATTCTTGAAGAAAGTCATAGT